AATGGTCAAGAAGAAAAGCCAAACAAAGGAGATTAGATCTCAGGGATCTCATTTTAAAAAGAAAAGGGGGGATAGACTATAGAAATGATTGGATAAAAGGGTAGATTATTGAATCTACTTTAATCCAAAAAAGACTATTAACCTTAAATATTTTACATTGGTATGGATTTTGATATATCAATACAAATTTAAACTTAATTTTGTTATGCTGTATGTATAGTTCTACTCTTATTTAGGGTATTGTGTTTATGTAGCTCATTTTAAAATGTAATTTACAATTAAAAATACAAATTAATAGTTATCTATAATAGTCAAACTTATAGTCATATTAGGTATGTTTTCAAGGTCATACACATATATTTAGATAGATAAATGGTCTTCAAACACTTCAAAGACCTACAGAATATGGCATTTAATATGTTTAATAACCTAAGGATTTTCATGACAGTAAGACACATCTGCTCCTGGCAGAACCAATCTACTTCAGAAAAGATGATGGGTATTGAAGAGACTCTGTATGGAGTTTTCTTTATGGCAAAAGCTAGCCATGTGGGCAAAGAAACTCCCCTTGCCTCAATTGATGATGGTTACTGTCCAAACTGGACCAGCAGGACACAAGAAAGGCAACTGCCAACTTTGCCAAGACAATGTAGGACAGACTTTCAGAATTCCCTGCTTTGCAGGAAAGTCTGTCAGATATGCTAGGCCTGTACACCAGAGCTGGATGCCCCAACATTACAGAAGAAGTTTGGGTGATTGTCCAGGCAGTCTGATGTCCCTATCATTAGATAACATTTCATCCTTTTGGGGTCTTTGATGGAGTTAAAGACTAAATAAACTTATAGTTTTCCTTAGTTATGATAGAAAGCAAATCAGGCATAAAACTTTAGACTCACCAAGATAAGATAGATAACAGAGTATTTTCTTTAATTTTTCCAAATACATATAGATTATTGTAATTCTTACTTAATAACTGTTTATGTTATATATAATTTTACTATGTTTAAGTTAAAACCTTCCTTTTTAATTGGACAAAAAAAGGGAAATGCTGTGGAATAATCCTTCTGTAAACTGTGTGAATACATGTCGCTATGATTGGTTTAATAAACAAGCTGACTGGCCAATAGCTGAACATGATAAAGTTAGGTGGGTAAGTAAAACAAAGAATGATAGGATGAAGAAGGGCGGAGTCAGGAGAGTTGCAAGGAGATGCAGAAAAACAAGATGGGCATGCCATACTGAGAAAAGTTACCAAGCCACGTGGCAAAGCAAAGATAAGAAATATGGGTTAATTTATATGTAAGAGTTAGCTAGTAACAAACCTGAGCTATCAGCTGAGCATTTACACTTAACATAAGCCTCATTGTGGTAATTTAGAAGCAGTTGCCAAGACGGGAAAACTCCACCTACAAACGTGTATAATAATAATTCCTCACTTCTCACACCCAGAACTTATTTCTTCATTCACATTTCAGCTCATCTTTTCAAACCCTATACCTTCAAAGAACAAATCAGGTCTGTCTAGCCACTGACCCTTTTGTGTGCCAGCCCTCCTGTTATTCGCCATATCTAAATGCCTCTGTTCAGGTGTACAACATATTTTTTTCCAAACTGGAAGTTCCTTAGGGAGAGAGGGCCCTCCCCCATTTCTTTGGCAACCATTCAGAATCAATTAAGTGTTTTACAAACCGTAAGCCCATCACATATTATTGAGTGGTGGTAAGTGGAAAGTAGCAAGAGTGAGCCAAATACGCTTTCACACGAGCCAGACAAATACAACACCAGTAGACATGCTAATGTGGAAGTGAGAAATCTCTTGGGGCCACAACCCTATTCAAAGAACTATGGGTAACTGAGGAATGCTGAGATCAGGGCCATTCGTCTTCCCCAGGGATGGGTCCCTTAATTGGTTATCAATTCCAAGTTGTCAGCCCTGAAATCATAGGCATACAAGCAACATTATACTGACTCAGAAGGTTGTGTGTGTGTGTGTGTGTGTTTGAGTGTGTTTAGCAATAACAAAGAAAAAGAGGCCATGAACTTGAGAGGGACCCGAGGTTGTGGATGTAGCAGGAACTGCAGAGAGGAAACAGAAGGGGGAAATGATGCAATTATATTTGAATTTTTAAAAAAGAAACAATTTAAAAAGAAAAAAAAGGGAAAACAGCCTAGCAGGTGATAATTAGTGAATCTAGGTTTTTCCTGGCGCCAGGCTTTGCTTTCCCACTCTCTGATCATAACAACAGCATCTCTATTTCCGAGTCCTCCTCTTGTTTTCCATTCCCCTCTTGGTTTCTCTTCCTTTGGGAAGCGTCCTCTCCAGGGTCACCTGCTCATAGAGCCAGGGAAGGGAAACGATCAGTGTGGGGATGCGTGGACATATGGGCAGTGGCCTTGCTGCCCAGCATGGACAGGTGCTGCGTGGCCTCTCAGGCAGGATGCTCTCCTACATGAAAACTGCTGAGCTTGCCTCTGCTGCTGCTGCCGCCAATTAACAGAGTCTTGCTCACCTTTCTTGGGGAGAATCATCCCCCACTCTGTTTTTTCATGCCCCTGGCTGTGACCAGTCATACCTCTTAAAGATAGCTCAGTTAAATCCCCCAGGAGAGAAAGTATAAGAATAGTTCATAGGAAATTAGGGCAAGAGGAACTCTTTTGTAAGGAATTTCAATTAGGAAATATAATAGGTTTAAATGGTGTTTGGGCTCATTTTGGAAACACAGTGAAATGTCATTAAATATTTTTAATTTGTTTGTAAGTTATTCATATGTGTGTAAGCAATTTCTTTTAAATATGTAAGTTTTTTGATTTAACTAAGAAAACTTGGTACGTTGAAAATATATGAACTTATAACATCGGAGAAACAAATTTTGTTAACTATACCGGAAGTGTTAACTTAGATTTGAGTTTGAAATGACATGTTTAAATTAATTAAAAATCTAAAATTAGAATTACAAGGCTTTTCTAGTCCAGCCAATTTCTTAGAAATTTAACAAGTATGTAATTTAAAAAATCCATAGTAGGAATACAAACATCAGTACTGCCGTTAATATTTAGCCTCATATGGACATGGCTCTGTTCAGTTCTAAATCCTCAGAATGGGAGATGCTGAAGTGTCAAGGAAATAGAAACACCTTCACACTGTCATAGAGAGAACAAGTGACAAATGCTGAAGAGGATGAGGAGAAAAGGGACTTCCTCTGCAATGCTGGTAGCAATGCAAAGTGGTCCAACTATTATGAAAATCAGTATGGAGGATCCTCAAAAAATTGCATGTATATATGTAAAATTATATGTGAGTGTCTCTGTGTGTGTCTACTTCCGAAGGACTCCAAATCAACGTATCACAGAGATAACTGCACATAGGTGTTCACTGCAACGTCGTTCACAACAGTTAAATTATGGAATCAACCCGAGTTCCTAGCAACAGAAGCTAAAGAAAATGTGCCCCCCTCCTCCTCTTCAGCCGTAAAGAGTAGGTCATGTTGTTGGAAGCCAAATGGAAGCATCTGGAAATGACCAAATGGATCAGACCAGGAAGACCAATGCTATGTTTCTTCTCATTTCTGGTTCTTGGTAGATTTTGTGTAGCTATATAAAATTATATATGTGTATGTGACTTGAAAGTTGAATGGAGCTGCCTCGGGGAACAAAGGGGGCCAGTGGGGGAGGGGTGAGAAAGGATGCTGTGAGAGTGACCGAGGGAACATACTCAACAGATTACATATCCTTGCATGGAAATAGCTTTTATTGCTAAGTCCAAAGCAGGGCCCCAAATGGCAGTGCTACTGACAATGTCCCAAATGTCGCCTTGGTCTTAGCTCAGGCTGGACCCTGACAGAGTAAACAGAAGGACTGCTATCAGGTAAACAAAAGCCTAAACTCAGATTCCTTATAAATGCTTCTCATGAAGCAGGTTTCTGTTTGTCAGGAAAAGCCATTTCTTCCCTTATTTGCCCCCAGTGGTCAATCGCCTCAGGTAAAGGGCTCTAGTTCCTGATTAACATAAATGGTTGGCAACAGATCAAAACCCCTGTGCTAAATCCCAGGCTGCTCTGGCCTGCACCTTCCTCCCACTGCTACCTGTCCCTGTAAAACCGACAAGGTTTTTCCCACCACCCTTTGCTCTTCACCTCCCCCTCCCACCCTGAGACAGCCCAGCAGTTTGATTCCCAAATAAACTTTCTTTCTACCCAGGGAGTGGTCTAGCTTGGCGATTTCACAGTACCTTTGCTGACACTCTTTTAGAAGGACTAGGAGGTGTGGCCTTGTTGGAGGAAGTGTGTCACTGGGGGTGGGCTTTGTGGTTTCAAATGCTCAGGCCAGGCCCAGTGCCTCTCCCTTCCTGCTCCCTCAAATCTAGACGTAGAACTCTCAGCTCCTCCAACACCATGTCTGCCTATGGGCTGCCATGCTTCCTGCCATGCTGATAATGGGTTAGACCTCTGAAACTGTAAGCCAGCTCCAATTAAATGCTTTCTTTATAAGAGTTGCTCTGGCCGTGTTGTCTCTTCCCAGCAATAGAGCAGTGACTCAGACACTTGCCAAGGATGATCTTGAATTTCTGATCCTCCTGCTTTCATTTCCAGACCATCCAAAATGCTAGTTTTGCAGGCATATGTCACTATGCCTGCTTTTATGTGGTACTGGGGATTGAACCCTTCGCTTTGTACATACCAGACAAGCAGTCTACTGAGCTACAACTTCAGATCCCAGATTGGATTCCAACTGATAGCATACTGAATTGTCCTATTTGTTTATGGTTTTTAAAATAAGATGCTCTTGTAGGGAAAAGGGGCTGGCTAAAGAGACCCATCCTGACCCTGGAGCCCAGAACTAGGGAAAGATGGCTCAGATCAGGACAGAAAGAAACACAGTTTGGTGCAGTCAGATCAGAGCCATCTCTGCCTCTGGCCAACTGACTTGTGAAACCAACCAATCACAGAGCAGGATAGTAGAACCCTGGGCCCCCGGGGTTGACTCCGCCCCCTAGACTTCCTATGTAAACTGCCTTGCCTAGTCAGAAAGGAAGGCTGTTCTCTTCACCCTGGTAGAGGCAGCTACTCTCCTAGACTCCTCCTTTCCAAATAAATCTCTTTCTCAAAAGAGTTTTGGGTGAAGACCTTCATTCACTGGTGCACAGAAGAACCTTGCTGGGACATCCCATAGTGGACCGAGCAAGGGGGAGCTAAACAGAAGAACCTTACTAAGACATCCCATAGTGGACTGAGCAAGGGGGAGCTAAACAGAAGAACCTTGCTGGGACGTCCCATTAGTGGACTGAGAAAAAGAGAGCTGGTAACACTGAGCCAGAGATTTCGGCTCTCCAGGAGAGGAGCAGGATTGCTGTGCCCTGCGGGGAGACCATCCCCCATCACACCAGGTATAGCCTGACTTTCCCAAAGAGTCAGGATACCCTGCTAAAGCAGTTCCAGGCCTGACTCTCCTGAGAAATCAGAAAAATTTCCCTTCCAGAGTTGGGCTGTTTCTTTGCAGTTCCAGCCATCAGAGCTGTGCTAAACAGTTCCAGGTGTCCGGGACACCTTCTGGGCAGAGCTGTTGTTCTGAGCAGCTCGAGGTGTCCGGGATACCTCGCCCTCCAGGGCTGAACTGTCTCCTTGCAGTTCAGCCATCAGAGCTGTCCTAAGCAGCTCAAGGTGTTGCCTAACTCCTCAGGTAGTCAGGACACCAAACCCACAGAGTTGCAAAACTCACCTTTTGCAACCAGTTTACTAACATTTTTTGGTGCAATTTATTAACAGCTCTGGTGTTTTTTGTTTTTTGTTTTTTGTTTTTGTCTATATTACTGTGTTCATGTTATATGCTACCAAGTCTTCTATCTACTCAAAAGTACATGGTTAGAAGGATAAACTCTTTTGGCATTGTTGACCCACAAAACTGTGAAATGTAATATAATGGATGGAAAGGCCTAAGGCATGTTACTGCTACTTCCTGTACCTTTTGAGCTTGTAGAGAAGGCTGGGCTTGACTGTTAGAGTGACCACACATGGCTTCTCTTACAGTGGAGCCTCAGGGTCATCACACTTCTTCCCCAGCTGCTCAGGCCATTAAGAGAACACATTCCTGCAAACACATGTCCTGTGAGGCCATCATTACCTAACCTCACAAGGTCTCCTAGACTTTAACATTGGCCAAAGTGTCACAGGACTCAACCAAATTCAAGGGATAAGACATAAACTCAGCCTTTCTACACCAGCAACACTGATGACTATGAGATTACGTTTGAAGATTGTCTTCGTCAGTGTTCTTTTGCTGTGAACAGGCACCATAACCAAGGCAACTCTTTTTTTTTTTTTTTTTTTTTTTTTTCGAGACAGGGTTTCTCTGTGTCGTTTTGGTGCCTGTCCTGGATCTCACTCTGTAGACCAGGCTGGTCTCGAACTCACAGAGATCCGCCTAGCTCTGCCTCCCGAGTGCTGGGATTAAAGGCGTGCACCACCACCACCACCACCACCACCACCACCACCACCACCACCTGGCAAATAGGAAATTTTTTTTTTTAAGATTTATTTATTATGTATACCGAAGAGGGCACCAGATCTCATTACAGATGGTTGTGAGCCACCACGTGGGTGCTGGGAATTGAACTCAGGACCTCTGGAAGAGCAGTCGGTGCTCTTAACCTCTGAGCCATCCTCTCTAGCCCCCCCCCCCAGGCAACTCTTAAAAAGAAAAGTTTTTTTTTTTTTTTCAGAGGCTTAGTCCTTTATCATCACAGCACATAGGCGGACATGATGCTGGAGGAGCTGAGAGTTCTGCATCTTGATCGGCAGGCAGCAGGAACAGAAAAAAAAACACTGGATCTGGCTTGAGCATTTGAAACCCCAAAGTCTACTCTCGGTGATACACTTCCTCCAACAAGGTCACTGTCAAGTAGTACCTAATCCCTGTCAAGTAGTGCCACTCCCTAATAACTAAGCATTCAAACATATGAGCCCGTGGGGGCCATTCCTATTCAAACCACCACAAAGATTATTACATATGTCTTGAGACACTGAATTTAATTAAAAAGAATTTTTTTTTTTGAGTTTGATGTGCCTTCTTTTGTGTTGGAGTGAGATGGAGATGAGATATGCTGAAGAGTAGAGTCTTGCTTGGTTCCAGTGAAATGCACTGAAAACGCTGCAGTGTTTGCCGTGGGGAAAGGCGAGATAATACCATAAAATGGCAGCATCTAAAATTTGGCCGCTTTTCTGCTTACTCAGCCAGGTCCTGTAGCACGGGTCTCCGGAGAGAGTTTTCATGATTGGCCAATGATCCTATGAAGCCGCCAGCTTGTCCTATCTTTTACATTTCCTTCCAAGAACTGTGTTCTCCCGCTATGTTAGAATTCCTTGTGCAGGTCTCAAAAATAGCCTACCGTCGTTAAGGAGACCCCAGAGGCAAACTATACTCACGATTTACAGTGATGATGTCTATTCTCAAATGCCCTCCAAATATAGCACCTGCTTGCTTGGAAAGAACAAGGCGGGTTTCTGGCTTTCAAGAGTGTGAAGGAAGCCGGGCGGTGGTGGCGCATGCCTTTAATCCCAGCACTCGGGAGGCAGAGGCAGGTGGATCTCTGTGAGTTCGAGGCCAGCCTGGTCTCCAAAGCGAGTTCCAGGAAAGGTGCAAAGCTACACAGAGAAACCCTGTCTCAAAAAACCAAAACCAAAAAAAAAAAAAAAAGAGTGTGAAGGGTTTGCTGAACAGAGAAAAGGTCAATCAAGCTGGCTGTGCCTTGTGGCCACATGCAGGGGTTTGGTGGAGCCATAGAGGAGGGTGCTTACCACGAGCATTCCTTTATTGTTTACAAGCAAGTGTTGCTGGTAGGAGAGCCTCTAGCTTCCCCCACTCTCCAGTTTCCAGACTCTAAAAATTAACAGAAATGTGAAGTGGGAAGGGACAGAGGCATGGCAACCAGGATTCATTCAAATGAGTAAGTGGCATCCTTTTAGCACGAAGGAAATCTAGGTGTTCCTGTCTGAGAAACATCAAATTCATCGGTATCTTCTAACTTCTGGACTTTCATTACTGTCCAGTTCAATTGTCCAGTCACCTAAGATATCTTCAAAGGACAGTGGGGGGGGGGGAGGTAGGGGGGACTGGGTAGATAGCTCAATTGGTAAAGTGTTTGGCTACACAAGTTTGAGGATCTGAGCTCAATCACTAGCACTTGCTTAAAAAGCTGGGCCTGGTGGTCAAGCCTGGCACTTGCTGGCTAGAGAATCTAGCCTGATTTGTTGGCCCTAGATCCCAAATGAGAGAGCCTGTCTCAAAAATAAATAAGTAAATAAATAAACACAATTTAAATTACTTAAGTTAAAAAGTGTATTTGTTAGGTCCAAAACTCCAAAAGGCAGTGCATATGTCCAGGAATGAGTGAAGACTCAGCTCAGGGTGGATGATAGGAGAATTTCTGGTGGCTAGACAAAAGGGAACAGTCAGCTTTCCTCAGGATCCTGTGAAACAGGTTTCTGTCTTTCAAAATTATTCATTCTCATTCTCTTCCCTTGACTCTGGCAAAGGGGACATGTGGCTCTCCATTGACATCTGCCTGTGGGTACAGATGAAAGCCCACAGGCAGGTCTCTGTCATTCTTAATTGATACAGGGGCTATTTGGTTTATACTTCTTGCTCAAATTGATCCTGCTCAGATCTCTCTGATGGCATTGGTGGCATGGATGGTGGGGCCCACCTTGTGCCAGGCCCTAGCTTTCACAGTGTAGAGGCTGCAGCTGCTTGGCCAACCCATTCAGAGCTAGAAAGTCTTTCACCTTAAAAACATTCTGGCTTTAAAGTAACTTTGGGTACCAAAGATGGACCTGCCACTTGCTGAAGACACAGATTTTAAAACTTTGAAGTTTAAATTCCCTTGGTCTCTTAAATGAAGAAGGCTTCTAAAGTGAGACACTAAATTGGTTTCACATGTAAAAACCAGGCTTTGCTGTTCCTTCCTTGCCTCCCACCAAGGAAGGCAAACTCAGACAGGTTTCCTTGCCGACAGGCTCCCAGATGACGAAGCAAGCTCACTAAACTGCTTACAACGATAAAGCAAACTCAAATTACTATGATGTTATTTTAAAAATTTGCTTTTATAATTCCTTTATTTATAAAAACAAATAAACATGCTTTTTGATGACTGCTCTCAGTAACCAAGCACCAGTGTCTAATGGGAAATGATTGGATGTTTCCAAAAGAAAGGAAAAGAAAGTGGTTCCAGTGTATGTAAGTTGCAAAGGTCTAAGGAAGTGACTTAAGGTATGTGAAAAAAAATGAGACAGATAATACATGAGGTTAAGACTTCAAAGGTTCCAAGTTTTAACATATTAATCAACAGAATTCTGATAAGTTATTAGTCTAGCCTTGGTAAAGCACTGGCTACTAAGCCTGTTTTTTAGATTATCATAGTCACAGGCTAAAAATTTTAAATTCCTTTGGTTGTTTTCTAAATAGTGACTTAAAAGTACTCCTCATTGTGCTGAAAACATTGCTATCCAATCTATATCTGTTCAGTCCTCTAGAGAGAGGAAGGATTGTTTGCAGCTTCCTCCCAGAACCATCTTTTGGGTCCTCAAGATCCTACCCTTTCTTCTCTTTCCTGGCAGGGAATTTGTCTTACTACCGATGAACGTTCATACTTCGACCATGTTATCAGCTTTCCAGGCTTTACTTTTGCTGTGGCTCAAAGGTATGACTCTACTCCAGTTGCTTACAGACACTGATTCACTGATTTCTCTACCCTGAGAACCCCAGTGCAGATTATAGACAGTGGTCACATCAATGTATCTAAAACTTTTATCTCTTTTGTCAGCTTTAAAGAGTCACACGAGCTTTAGGAAGTTGTGACTTGGATCCTTCAAATGGTCTCCTTCATCAAATAGTCAAATGGACTTCTTCCTCCCTGACTGTTGGATGTGTGTTCTTTATGTCTTCTGGACCGTCCAGTCAAGAAGACATACCTGGAGTAGCGAGTAAAGATTTCCCCTAAACTCCTTAACTTTACCTTCTGTTCCTAGTCTATATCTGTCCCAGTAGATTTCCACTTAGCTGACAAACACCATCCAGTAATCAAGCTGCAGCCTACAACTGCTCTATGATGAGCTCATCTCTCTAACCTCATGTGACCCTGCAAAACCAGCGAGCCCTGGACTTGCCAAAAACTGATTGGAACCAGTCCCCGATGTGAATTAGTCTGACCAGTGTGACTGCTCCCTGCAGTTTCTTTCAGGCAAAATTACTTAAATTCTCATCTCAGAAAAGAAAAAAGAAAGAAAGAAAGAAAGAAAGAAAGAAAGGAAGGAAGGAAGGAAAAATGTGAAACAAAACCCAAAGTGGGTAGCTCCAGAATGATGTCCAAGGTTGACCTTGACCTTCCTTTCCTACAAGTCATTTCCCACGTTCCAGTCTGAATGGAGCCAAGTCACCCCCTCACACACCTCAGGGACAGGACACAGATATGAGGGAACCTTTTGCCTTGTAATTCACTATCACAACAGCTGTTTAGAGGCCCCAGAATCCACAGGGATGCCTTTGTGCCCACAGCTTTACAAACTGGCCATGGGAATTTAGGCAAACAACCTTAGCTGAAAAGATTAAATTTGGAAAATGAGGATGGCTTGATGCCTAAAATTCTTTTTAAAAAAAAAAATAGTAACTAGGATTCCAATTTCTAAGATTCCCATACTGATGTGGCCTGCTTCGAACCCCTGAGTATGACTGAGTCTGATTTGGCTCAGTTTGTCACATGGGTTCTACTCAGGGAACATGGCAAACTTATTTTTACCATGCCTCATGGGCTAATGTCTCTATTCGTTAGGATGCTGCTGGGTTCTCTGTTGCTGCTGGCTGTGGTTCCCTCTGGCCGCATTTCTGATTTTGTTGGAAGTAGACTTAGCATCCTCCCATTTTGACGGTTCCTTTTATGTAGGGAGAGTGAATTAGATAACTGTCTAGGTTTTCTCTCCTGCACAGCATTCTTGCGATGGAGTGACATCTGCTTCTGTTGTCATAGTGGGTGGAATACACCGCTCTGATTGGTTGACAGTTTGGGTTGATCGTGTAACATTGTGTGGTCATCGGACTATCAACATACATGTTTTAAAAAAAAGTCTTTAGCTTTAAAGAGCACAAAAAGAGCACACCGCAGGTGTCTGGAACCCCTTCATAAAGGACTGGGGAAGAAAATGTGTGTAAAGAAAATGAATCATAGCAGAAATAGATTTACTTAGCAAAGCCAATTCTAAATCAGCAAAACCTCCGAAACATACAGACCTGTGAAGATAGAAAAAAAAAATGTTTACTGCAAGCTGTTCAAATCTTGAATTTGTAACATAACAACAGTAGACTCCTTCAGACAGTGAAGCTAGACGTTGGATACCACTTTCGTGTGTGTACAGATGCACACATGTACACAACCCACACATACTAATAATAAAATAAAAATTGAAATTTAAAAAAACGACCAAGCAGTACATTCTAGAAGACAGAAAGTACGTCAGAGGAACTTTCTGGAATCACACAGATGTCACGGCAGAATACTGGTAGCAGTGAGTGTGTTGCAAGAAAGAAAGAGACTCAGAAAAGAACAGGACAGTTTGCAACACAAAGGAAATGGAGAGAGCTCAGACCGGACAGTCCTGAACAGGGAAGCTGCTCCTTGCTCAATCACAGCTGTGGCCATGTAGAAGAAGGAAAACAGCCACCTCAAAGCTTAGATTTACAGCATCAAGACCTATAGCACCACATAAAAGAAAAAAAAAAAAAACATGAAAAGCTATGGCTGTCAGGACTGCTCAGTGGGGAAACGTACCCACCATTAAGCCTGATGACGTGAGTTTGATTTCAGAGATCCACAGGATGGAAAGAGATAAGCGGCTCCCATTAGTTGTCCCCTGACCTCTACATATTCGCCACGGCAAGCATATGTATACAGGCACATGTGAATGCACACATACACACTCACATACACACACACACACACACACACACACACACACACACACACACAGTGTATTTTCTCATTTTTGCCTTTGTTCTTAAGGCTATCGCAATTGCTTGGGGTCTTTTTTTTTTTTTTTTTGCTATACACATGCTAAAACCTGTTTATCAGTGTCTAGAAGAAGCAACAGCACTTTAGGATTATAATCAACAATTTATCAATATTCAGCACCAATTCGTCTCTCTATTTAAGGCTTCAATTTTTTCATCAGAAATTCTCTCCTTTTTGAGTACAAAAAGACTATTTTCTTTTTTGTAAAATTACTTCTAGGTATTTTCTGGTTTTAAACTGTTGTAGTGGAGTATTTTAAGTTCATTGTATATATACGGAAATGTCATTTACATTTTATATTGATTTATATTTGGTGACTTTGCTAAATTCATTTACTGGTACCAGAAGTACGCAGATTGATTTGAATGTCTTCTGTACACAACCAAATCATCCACAAATGATAGTAGTCATATTTGTATCTTCCCAATATTTTTTAAATATATGGCCTTACTATATTTTCTATGAGTTATGAATGGAAATCCTTGCCTTCCGCTTGATCTTATTTTACAGTATATTAGCTGCAGATATCTTTTGGTAGACGTGTTTTATCAGCTCGGGAAAGCTTCATTCTTGACCTAACCTTTAGAGGGTTTTTGTTTTCACTGCTGAAGTGTTGGGTTTTTTCACTCCCATTTCGATGATTATCCTTGTCTCCTCTTTATTATTGTGGTAAATTACAGGCTTCGATGTTCCCCTGGAGATGTCACCAAATTGATCAATTTTCTAAAGTTAAGCCAATTTTGATTTTTCTGGGGCAAATGCCATTAGGTTATGGTAGAATATTTCTTTTATGAATCACTGCATTCTAAAAATATCTGTTTATGAGAGGTAAGAGCCTAATATTGTTTTCAAATAACATCTTCCCCAGGCTTGGGGAATGGTTTTGTGCTGATTTTATAATTCAAAAGCTTCACGGCATATTCTCCTTCCCTTTGATCTCTGTAAGAGTTTATTTGGAATTGAGGATATTTTTTTCCTTAAACATTGGGCAACTTCTCCGGGGGACCCTCTCAGCTTGGATTATTTTTACTATGGGGGGGGGGGTTGGCAGCTGAACCTCCACTGTTTTAAACAATGTACAACTCCTTAGATGCTTTTTTTGAGTCTTTCAATTTTGGAGAGCTGCTTTTTTCAAGAATGTCTTCCTTTTATCTAAATTTTCAGTAACATTGGCATGAACTTGTGCACAAAACATTACACATCGTCACATTAACATCCGTGTACTATATCCTAGTGTTTGCTGTGGGTAATTCATGTGTTCACATTCTCACATGGGTAATTCATGTGTTCACATTCTCATGTGGATAATTTGTGGTTTTGTTCAATTTTTTTTGATCAAACTTTTTAAAACACAAAGTCCTTGTTGACTTTTTTGCTGTTCTTGATTTTATAGATTTCCTCTATTGATTTTATTTTTCTTCATTTTTTAAAATTTCTTTGAGTTTGTCTTTTTCTAGATTCTGAATATTAACATTTGCATAAGTAGCTTTTTTCCAGTATATATATATAATATATATATAATATATAATATTTATAACTACAAACTTTCTTTTAAGTCTTATTTTAGTTGAAGCTCATAATTTTAAATGGTGTACTTTAATTTCTATTCAATCAAAGATGTTTTCTAAGTTTTGTTTTTATTTTGCTTTTCACATGTGTTATTTGTTTTTTATTAATGTACATTAGAATGTCTTTATTAGTGCATATATAAAACGATGGGTTTCATTCTGACATTCTCTTTCGTGCATATGAAGTACTCCAATTACACTTACCTCCCCCTTTGCTCTGTCTTGCTCCCTACATCCATTCTTCTTCCCCAGCAGTGTCCCTCCTGCTTTGGTGCCCTTTCATACATCTAGATTCCACATATGAGAGATAATGTGATTGTTTTCTTTCTGAGACCAGCTTGTTTATCCTGATGTGATGACCTGCACTTCTGTCCATTTTCCTGCCTTGGGTCAATGTGTGACTAACCAGATTGGGGACCAGTTGATGTCTTTTAAAATATAATGTTTGAATAAGATAAAATGTACATTCTTTAACTCAACTCAGCCATTCTCCACCGCTCAAATCCATCCTAGAAGGTTCTATTGTTATAGCTGAAGGTTTATCACCTAAAAACACCTTTCCTTTCTATTTAGTCTAATAGAAGAGATTAGCTCTTGAGTTACAATGCTAGAAAACCATGTACTCCAACTGTCTTATGTATCTTATCCTCTACTTCCTGGTAAATCTGCTAACATGGATCTGTTTTGAGCACACGGGACAAATTTCTAAATAGCTGTAGTTGGCTGTTATTTCTTTGGCTGCCCGTGTTGATTTCCTGCATTATACGGTAGGGGTACTAGGTCTAGAATGGCTCAAATCGCCTTATACACATTGATAGCTACTTATGATAGCTGTCATCTGGGAGCTTAGCTGGGGTTGCTGACTGGCCACCTTGGTTTCCTTCTCAGTGGACTTCTCCACGTATTCTCTGAGTTTCCTTCCTGTATGGTAGCTGGGGTTCAAGTAGGAGCATTACAATTTAGTCCTAGAATTTCACACCAGCAGAATTCTAGTGACCAAAGTTAGCTCAGCTCTTACTCTGGTTTTGAAATCTGTTAAATATTATAGAAAGCAGAGCAAAAAGCACATGG